GGCCACAGTCTCTCATACCAGAAAAAAAAGGGGCTAAGGCCCAAGCTCAAAACAGAGTAAAAATCTCAGCTATACACAGGCTGAGAAGAGTGGGGAGAAAAAAAAAAATCAGACGATTGCCAAAGCAAACAAATAAACAAACTGAAAACACAGTTTTAAACATTTAATATTGAACAGAACACTGCAGTTTGATAAAATGTAATCTGGAAATAAAATTACAGGCAGACCTCAGAAATACTGCAAGTTGGTTCCAGATTACCCCAATAAAGCAAGTCACACAAATTTTTTGGTTTCCTAGTGCATATAAAAGTTATGTTTACACTATACCATAGTCTATTAACTCTGCAAAAGCATTATATCTTTTTTTTAAAAAAAAACACCTTAATTTAAAAGTACTTCATTACTAAAACATGCTAACAATTATCTGAACCTTCAGTAAGCTGTAATCTTTTTGGTGGTGGAGGGTCTTGCCTCCTTGTTGATGGCTGCTGACTAATCAGGGTGGTGGTTGCTGAAGGTTGGGGTGGCTGGGACAATTTCTTAAAGGAAGACAACAATGAAATTTGATATATCAATTAACTGTTCTTTTCACAAAATATTTCTCTGTTGCAAGCAATGATGTTTGATTGCATTTTACCCACAGTAGAACTTCTTTCAAAACTGGAGACAGTCCTCTCAAAACTTGCTGCTGTTTTATCAACTATGTTTATGGAATATGCTAAATTATTTGTTACCATTTCAACGGTATTCATAGCATCTTCACTAGGAGTAGATGCCATCTCAAGAAACCACTTTCTTTGCTCACCCATAACAAACAGCTCCTCATCCATTCTAGCTTGATCATGACATTGCAGCAATTTGGTCACATCTTTACGCTTCTCTTCTAGTGCTCTGGGTATTTCCACCACATCTGTGGTTAGTAGATTGGTGCAAAAGTAATTGTGATTTTTGCCATTAAAAGTAACAGCCGGGCGCGGTGGCTCAAGCCTGTAATCCCAGCACTTTGGGAGGCCGAGGCGGGTGGATCACGAGGTCGAGAGATCGAGACCATCCTGGTCAACATGGTGAAACCCCGTCTCTACTAAAAGTGCAAAAAATTAGCTGGGCGTGGTGGCACGTGCCTGTAATCCCAGCTACTCAGGAGGCTGAGGCAGGAGAATTGCCTGAACCCAGGAGGCGGAGGTTGCGGTGAGCCGAGATCGCGCCATTGCACTCCAGCCTGGGTAACAAGAGCGAAACTCCGTCTCAAAAAAAAAAAAAGTAACAGCAAAACCCACAATTACTTTTGCACTGACTAATACTTCCTCTACTGACGTCTTGACCCCTTCAAAGCCATCCATGAGGGTTAAAATAAACTTCCTCCAAACTCCTGTTAATGTTAATATTTTGACCTCCTCCCATGAATCATGAATGTTCTTAATGGCATCCAGAATGATGAATCCTTTCCAGAGGGTTTACTTTGCCCAGATTCATGAGAGGAATAATTTTCTATGGCAACTCATAATCTTACAAAATGTTGTTGTTAAATAATAAGTCATGAAAGTTGAAATTACTCCTTGATCCATGGGTTGCAGAATGTGTTGACATACATGAAAACAACATTCATCTCCTTGTACATCTCCATCAGAGCTTTTTGGTGACCAGACGTATTATCAATGAGCATTAATATTTTGAAAGGAATCTTGTGAGCAGTAGGCCTCAATCATGAGCTTAAAAGGTAAACCATGCTGTAGATAAATGTACTGTCGTCTAGGCTCTGCTGTTCCATTTACAAAGTAGAGGCAGAGTAGATTAACATAATTCTTAAGTGCTCTAGGATTTACGGAATGGTAAATGAGCACTGGCTTCTACTTAAAAGTTACCCGCTGCACCAGTTCTTAACTAGAGACTCATCCTTCTCGTTGAAGCTTTGAAATCAGATGCTGATTTGTCCTCTCTACCTAGGAAAGTCCTAGATGGAAATCTCCTTCCCACAGAAGACTGTTTTGTCTACACTGAAAATGTGTTATTTAAAGTAGCCTCCTTCATCACTGATCTTAGCTAGATCTTCCAAATAACTTGCTGCAGCTTCTATATCAGCACTTTCTGCTTTACCTTGTACTTATATGTGATAGAGATGGCTTCCTTTCTTCAAGCTCATGAACCAATCTCAACTAGCTTGAAACTTTTCTTCTGTAGCTTCACCATCTCTCTCAGCCTTCAAAGAATTGAAGGGAGTTTGGGCCTTGCTCTAGATTATGCTTTAGACTTAGCAACTGTTGGGGCTGGTTTGATCTTCTATCCAGACCTCTAAAACTTTCTCCATAACAGCAATAAGGCTGTTTTGCTTCTTTATCACTTGTGTATTCACTGGAGTAGCACTTATAATTTCCTTCAAGAACTTCTCAGCCAGGTACGGTGGCTCATGTCTGTAATCCCAGAACTTTGGGAGGCTGAGGAGGGAGGATCACAAGGTCAAGAGATCAAGACCATCCTGGCCAACATGGTGAAACCCTGTCTCTACTAAAAAATACAAAAAATTAGCTGGGCATGGTGGCATGTGTCTACAGTCTCAGGTACTCGGGAGGCTGAGGCAAGAGAATCACTTGAGATGGGAGATGGAGGTTGCAGTGAGCCGAGATTGCACCATTACACTGCAGCCTAGGTGACACAGCAAGACTCCATCTCAAAAAAAAAAAAAAAAAAAAAAGTACTTCTCATATGCATTCACAATTTGGCTAAATAGCACAAAATGCCTAGCTTTTGGTCTGCCTCGGCTTTCAACATACCTTCCTGACTAAGCTTAATCATTTCTAGCTTTAAAGTGAGAGACCTTTGATTGTCCCTTGCACTCAAACACTTAGAGACCACTGAAGAGTTATCAACTGGGCTAATTTCAATACTGTTGTGTCTCAGGGAATAAAGAGGGTTGAGGAGAGGAAAAGAGACAGGGGAATGGCTGGTCGGTGGAGTAGTCAGAACACATACAACATTTATTGAGTTCCCTGTCTTATATGGGCACAGTTCATGGCACCCCAAAACAATTAATTACAGCAGTAACATCAAACATCACTGGTCACAGATCACCATAACAGATATAATAATAACGATCAAAAAGTTTGAACTATTGAGAGAATTGCTAAAATGTGACAAAGATATAAAGTGAGTACATGCTGTTGGAAAAATGGCACCAATAGACTTGCTGGATACAAGGTTGCCACAAACCTTCAATTTGTAAAAATAAATAAATAAATAAATAAATAAATAAATAAAAAGCAAAGTGTGATAAAGCAAAGCACAATAAAACAAGACATGCCTGCACTTTTTTCTATGAACCCCTTAACATGTGACATAAGAGCTCACTAAAGACTGATTTGATTCTTCAGAACTGACACGTGGAACTTAGACTTGGCTGGGCAAGATGGCTCATGGCTGTAATCCCAGCACTTTGGGAGCCCAAGGCAGGTGGATCACAAGGTCAAGAGATCGAGACCAGCCTGGGCAACACAGTAAAACCCTGTCTTTTCTAAAATACAAAAAACTAGCTGGGTGAGGTGGGGCAGGCCTGTAATCCCAGCTACCTGGGAGACTGAGGTGGGAGGAGAAACGCTTGAACCCAGGAGGCAGAGGTTGCAGTGAGCCGAGATTGCACCATGGCACTCCAGCCTGGGCAAGAGAGTGAGACTCCATCTCCAAAAAAGAAAGGAACTTATTAGATTCTAGGCCTTAGCTAAAGAAAACAGCCCAGCTTCAGGGAAGTCCACTTTTAATTTTTTATGGACAGAAGAGTTTTCTTTGGCCACTATTTTTACTTTGAAAGCTATAGTCACAAAGCCATCTCTTTTTCCACCAGTTTAAAAATTGTCTTATTCTAGGTTTCGCTTCACTGACAGAGACCTAGCCAAAGAGATTAGCTTTGAATATGATCATTCTTGACTTTCAGTTCTGTATTCTGTGCCCCTCTCCTCAAACTATGTCTCTCAGTTCTTCTCACTTGCTTCATTAAAATATTTATATCTATTATTCTATTTTTTAAAACAACACTTTTGATATGTTCCTCCCTCACAAAAAAAAATGTGGCTACCTCAAACACTTCACCAGGAATCACCCAGTTTTTATTACAGGAGCTTAAATAAAATTGGTATTATGATGGCTTCTGTATGGAAAATGTGCCGTTTTTTGAGTACTGGCCACAGAAACTGACCTAGGAAGGGCCTGCTAAAGGAGAAGGGTGTGCCTTTGGAAAGTTCACGGCAGAGGACGTTTGACTCCTCTTAAGGTATGAAGAGGAAGACGGGCTAAAGTCTCCAGAAACTTCTGACTCAATAGGAGAAAGCCATCAAATTTCCCAAAACTTGACTGATTTTGGTTATCACATTACAGAGGTAGTGAGCAGCTGCTGAGTGTGAAACCCACATCCCATTTCTGGGGAGAACTATGTAGTTGGTTCCTTCCACATAAAATATCAGAATCTGTATCCTGACACCCATAAGAAACCTCTCCCACCTCTCACATACTAACCTTTTCTTCTATTTTCAATTTACGACACACAGTTTTGTTTCCCACAAGTACTGTACAACCAGAGACACACACACTCTCACACATACATATATATTTCAGATATATATATATATATATATATATATATATATATCTGTTTGAAGAGCCGGGAACGAGGGAGCCAAGGCCTGTTTGTACTCACAGCCTCGCTTAACTGTGCTGGGGTGACCGGAGCTTTGACCACAGAGGAGGAGCCCGCTGGCAGCGCCAAACGGCTGAACTGTGCGCCTTTTCATAAAGGCCGAGGAACTGGGGTTAGCCACACTACAACCCTCCCACCTGAGAGAAAGGCCTGTTTGTTCCGGAAGGCACAGCCCAGCCTTATTCAACTAACTGGAAGCAGTTAATATAAGCATTCCCAAGGCAGCAAGCAAGCTCTAGTCTAGGACAGTAAAGCCATCGACTTCAGGAGGATTTCTCCAGAGTCTGGCATCCTGAAAGATGCAGCCCAGACTCCTCACCTGGCGGTTAACCTGAAAACAGCTGATCCTCTCTCGGGAATCCTCGCCTGGAGAAAACGATAAGGCTGCCGGGCCACGCCTCCTCCTTCGAAACTTTCCATGGGTCTCGGGATTCGGAGCAGGAAAAATCGTTCACAGCAGACTCATTCCGCCCTTGCCTGAATGCGTCCGCTTAAGTTGGAGCCCTTCTAAGCGGGTCCCCCTTCTCTTACCCTTCCTACCGGCCGTGCAGTGCGCGCAGACCCCGGCCCGAGGGCTGGCGGCGGTGGCTGGCTGCGGCGTGCCCCGCTCCCGCGGCTGAAAGGCTGCTCTGTGCGCTCCGGGCAGGAAGCGGCGCGTGGCCAGGCGCTCCCGCCCCGCCCCCAAGGCACCGCCCCGCCCCGCCCCGCCGCCTCCCACCCAGAACTGGAGCTTTCCCACTTGGGGCCCTTATTCGACCAGTCAGCCGACCAGCCTCCCCGCGCCCCGGGAAACTGGGGGCGGTGACGCGGAGGCGGGGTGGGCGCCGTAGGGAATGGAACAAAGGCGCGCGCGCGCGATGTAAGAGCAGAGGAAGCGAGCAGTCCGGAAAGGGGGCCGCGGTGGGGCCCCCAGCGAGGCGTGGGGCGTACCAGGGGGCGCCTTGGGGCACTGAGCTGTGGTGAGGCCTCAGGACAGGCCCAAGGCAGGTCCAGCGCCTCCATGCCTCGAGGCATGGCGCGGCCCGGGAGCGGCAGGATGACGCCAAGCGTGGGACGGCTACACCTGTCTGGGCACTAGCCCGCAGCCCCCGCGCTCTCCTACCAAGGGCCCAGCGAGGCTGTGCGGCCCGCTTTGGGTTGGGGTGCCTGCCGGAGAAGCGCCTTACAGAGGGATCCCGACGGTGGGCGCTAAGACCAAGTGGCCCACGCACCGTCCGCACCAGCCCCGGGCGGCGGCACCCGGCACTCTCGGCCCTCTAGGGGAATCCTGTCTTTTTTGGTTTGTTTTTGTGGGGCTTTTTGTTTGTTCGTTTTGGTTTTTTTTAGACAGGTCTCACTCTGTCGCCCAGGCTAGAGGGCAGAGCTGCGGTCATGGATCAATGCAACCTTGAACTCCTGGACTCAAGCGATCCTCCTGCCTCGGCCTTCCAAAGTGCTAGGATTACAGGTGTAAGCCACTGCGCCTGGCCCTTTCTTTTCTTCACTCTTTCATGCATTCATTTCTTGGTTCTACATGCCTTCATTTTTCTGTTTCTTTAGTCATTCTTGTTTTGATTCTTAGGGGAACACTGAGCGCCAAGCCGACTGCTGGGTGCTGTGGTCGCTGGGATGAGAAAGACATGGCCCTTTCCCTCCAGGACGTCACGTTGAACTGACAAGTTCATTCGGACAAGTTTATTCGTTCTGGCTTTTCTTTAAAGTGCACGATCACGAAAGTCTGTGACAAGAGTCATATTTCTGAGATGTTAGAAAGTGCGGCGAGCGCTCGAGGAATAGGAGAAGCGAGTCTCCCTGAGCTCGCATCGGGAAGCACCGGAGGGAGCCGGGAGCTAGCGTCCGCATCTGCCTGCGGGCGCGGAGGGAGGGCCCCCGGCCCCACCGCTGGGCTCGCAACCCCAGCGCCCTGCTGCGGCCGCTGCTGCTCTTCTGTCTTGGTGCACTAAAGGAAGACGCCTGTGAGAAACCGAACAGACAATCGGTCATGAATCTTAAAGATGAGAGTCGGCGGTGCATGACCAAAAGGGGTGCATGACCAAAAGGGGTGTTCGGCTGCTAGTCCTGTCGGCTTGATAGTTCGGACGTAACCGACGGCCTCCTAGAGCTCGTACCCCTCCTCTTCACCAGGTAGCAGCAGCAAAGCCCGGAGTGCCAGGTTCTGTGAGTCAGCAAGCGTTTAAAAGATCTCTGGGTTTAGCTCAGGCAAAGAATATTCTGCCAGATAATTATCTTTATATGCGTGTCCGGGAAGAAGTAGTTGGACAGACGATGTATATAAAAGCATACATGACTGACCCTCTTTTAAGTCACTTTCAAAGATTATTAGGCAAAAATGCCTTGTTTTTGAGCCCTTTTCATCAGAGGTACGCAATCTTCCAGCTTGTGGATAGCCACTGAATTCCAGCCTGCACAACTGAGACTGGAGACCCCAACCTTTTGGCACCAAGGACTTGTTCCATGGAAGACCATTTTTCCACAGACAGGGGATTTGGGGGGGATGTTTTTGGGAGGATGTTTTTGGGATGAAGCTGCTCCACCTCTAATCAGTAGGCATTAGAGGAATTATAAAGGAGCACACATCCTGCAACCTAGATTCCTCCCATGCGCAGTTCACAGTAAGGCTCCTGCTCCTATGAGAATCTAACGGAACCGCTGCTCTCTTGCTCAGTGCTCACCTCCTGCAGTGCGGCTTGGTTCTTAGCAGGTCACAGACCTGTACCAGTCTGCAGCCTGGGGTTTGGGAACCCCTGCAGAGGGATAAATAGTTGCAAAAGGGAGATCTGGGGATCTCAAACTTTAATGTGTACATGAGTCACCAGAGTTTTTATTGAAGCAGACTGATTCAGTAGGACCTGAGGTTTTGCATTTCTAGTAAGAAGTTGCTGCTGCTGCTGCTGCTGCTGCTGGTCCCACTCTGTAAGTAGCATGGTTCTAAGAAATATTTAATCTGAGTGTGTGCAGGATTTGAGGGTGGAGAAGAAGGGAGAACAGTGACAGTGGAAAATTACTGGAGTCAGATGGCTGAAGGATTTATTATAAATATAACACATACTGAAGTTTTCAGCCATCTAATCATTCTTAGCAAATTTAGTTCACAGTAGGCAGTAAGTTTTTAGCTTTCAAAAAGTCACTTGTTTATGGTAAAGATCGTGGCTCATTTTTCAGTGGGCAGTAATGGACATTGTTTTGTGCTGTGTTAATCCTTTCAAGCATCTGTGCTCTGTTCTTTATATCACAGCACAAAAAGCTTTGTGCCCTGATTCAAATTTGTAATGACCAATAACCAGGTAACACGAGAATTTTTTGCTCAACAGTGTTTTATAATACGGCATTTTAAATTTACAACCTAAAGATCTTTAATTTCTCTAGCAGTTTGTCTTCATGTGGAAGTTTCACTGATTTCGTGTTTAAAGAGAATTTTCTTAAAGTAGCCTAGAAAATGTGAGATAGGCTGGGCACGGTGGCTCACACCTGTAATCCCAGAACTTTGGGAGGCCAAGGAGGGTAGATTGCTGAGGCCAGGAGTGCCAGACTAGCCTGAGCAAGATAGTGAAACCCTGTCTCTACCAAAAATACAAAAATTAGCTGGGCATGGTGGCCCACACCTTTGGTTCTAGCTGCTTGGGAGGCTGAGGTGGAAGGATTGCCTGAACCTGGGAGGTCGAGGTCGCAGTGAGCCAAGATTGCACCACTACATTCCAGCCTGGGCAACAGAGACCCAGTCTCAAATAAATAAATAAACAAACAAACAAACAAACAACAACAACAAAGGAAAGAAAAGAAAATGTGAAACAGGCTAACAGTAAAAATGCAACAATTTTAACAATTTTCTAGGATGCACAGGCAAAAACAATGTTTATTGTGAAGAACATGGGGAGAGAAAATGGAATAAAATAGGAGAAAAATGATGCCCTTTATTTACCTACTTTCACATCCTTGCCAAAATTTTTTGATGTGCAAGTAGTGTTCTGTATGTTGTGGATATTAATTCTTTGCCAGTTTTAAACATTGTAAGTATTTTCTTCCAGTTGTCATCTCTCTCTTTTTCCATTGTGTTTTTCCTTGGATGAAAGTTTTTAATTTTGATTTATGACATCAATATTAAGTATATTAATCCTTATAGTTTGTGCTTTTATGATCTTTTTAAAGAAACTATTCTCTACCCTTAATTAACCATTCTTCTGCATTTTCTGTAATAGTTTTATCCTTCATATCAAATTCCATTGTACTTTAACTTTGCATGTGGTGGGAGATATTAATGGACCTCAATTTTTCGACATCAAGTAAGCCAGTTTTCGCAAGTTATCTTATAATTCAGGGTTGGCTTGTTTTTTTCTGCACAAAGTCAGATATAAATATGTAGGCTTTGTGCATTGAACTGTCTCCTTTACAACTATTTAACTCTGTAAAGATAATTGTACATAATATATAAAGAAGAGAGTGGCTGTGTTCCATGTATTATGAAATATTTATTCTTACTTTAATTTTTTTAAAATAGACTATTTTTAGAGCAGTTTTAGGTTTATTGCAAAATTGAGCAGAAAGTACAAAGTTCCTATATGTTCCCTGCTCCCACATATGCATAGCCTCTCCCACACTGTTAACATCCTATGAAAGAATAGTACATTTGTTATAATTGATGAATATACATTGACAAATCATCACCCAAAGTCCCTACTTTAGGGTTCACTCTTATGTGCAGGCTGTAAGTTTTGACAAACATATAATGACTCGATCTACCACCATACTATCACACAGAATAGTTTGACTGCCTGCTGTGGACTAAATGTTTGCCCCTACATTACCAATCCCCCCATGCTCACAAAAATTTATATGTTGCAACCTAAATCCCCAATGTGCTGATATTTGGAGATGGGGCATTTGGGAGGTAATTAGGTCTTGTGAGTCAAGCTATCATGAATGCAATTAGTACCCTAGTGCCCATATAAGAAAAGATAGGAGAGAGATGATCTCTCTCTCTCTCCACCATGTGAGAATATAATGAGAAAATAGCTGTCTGCAAACTAGGAAGTGCACCCTCACCAGATACCAGTTGTGCTAGCACTTTGATCTTGGATTCCCTGGCCTCTAGAACTATGAGAAATCAATTTCTGGTGCTTAAGCCACCCGGTCTGTAGTATTCTGTAATAGCAGCCCAAACTGATGAAAATACTACTGTAATAATCCTCTGTGCTGCATCTATACATCCCTCCCCACAACCCTTGTCAACCACTCATTTTTTTACTGTTACAAGTTTTTCCTTTTCAGATTGTCATGTAGTTGGAATCATACAGTATGTAGCCTTTTCAGATTGGCTTTTTTCTCTTTTTTTGAGATGGAGTCTCAATCTGTTGCCAGGCTGGAGTGTTGGCATGATCTCAGCTCACTGTAAACTCTACTTCCCAGGTTCAAATGATTCTCCTGCCTCAGCCTCCCAAGTAGGTGGGAATACAGGTGTGTTCCACCACACCCAGCTATTTTTTGTATTTTTAGTAGAGACTAAAAATACAAAATGGGGTTTTCCATGTTGGACAGGATGATCTTGATCTCTTGACCTTGTGATCCACCCACTTCAGCTTCCCAAAGTACTGGAATTACAGGCGTGAGCCACCACTCTAGTCCTGGCTTTTTTCATTTAG